GAACTGGATAGAGGATGTGATGAGCTGAATCCAGCCTGGCTTGATCTCGAAGTTATTTGCTGGGATGGGCGGATAGAGGATGACCGGGCGGATGTCAGCAATCCGTGGAGTGTAGTAGTACTCCAAGGTGGGACCCGGCGGTGGTGGTGGATGCTGATTCACCGGGGGAACCTGTCGAGCATTCCCCGGTTGTGGGATGTCTTCGCCCTCCATCTCGTACTCTTCCTCAGAATCGCTGGTCAAGTGGCCGTCTATGCGCTCTCCCGTAACCAGTCTAGCTCGCTGCTGTCTCCTAAGTTGGCGACAAGTGCGTTCAAGCTCTGGATCCAACGGCAGTAAACCTCCTGACTGGCTACGGGTCATGCACTACCTGCACACACTCAAGCAAGCAAACCCGTGAAGGCACAAGTGGGAAAAACAAAAACTCAATGCGAAAATGAAAATGCTAAAGTAACAGAAATCACTTTTCTTCAACAACCTAGCCGTCCCCGGCAACGGCGCCAAAAACTTGACTCACTCCTACTGTCACCCTAGAAAATGGCCAAGTATAACCAATTCCTAAAGCGTAGTATAGCGGGTCGGGTTTTAATGTCAACCCGGGTCCTAGATGTGATGACTACTCGGTGAATTCTTGTTATTTAGCAGTGAACTTTTAGTGAAACTGAAGCAAACAAAACACAAAGCAAGTAAACGGTTTGTTGTCAAGTCAAGAGAGGTCACCCGGATATGGTTTCCCCCTAGACTGCAGTTAAGCCGGATTGCAATTTACCAAGTTCAGTTTTCATGAAAGTTATACTGCGGAAGGTTCTCAATTAGCCTGAAGTCTCGACTAAAGGTCTCCAGACCCTCTCAATCTGAGTCTCTAGCGGGCGACTAACCTCCACCGGAGTAAACAGATTGAGGCCCTAATGAACCAAACCTCCACTACCGAATTGACTTCGGTACAGAATAGCGAATTGGCCCCTCGACTAAAGTCACCAATTCGCCACCTTCGATTAAGGGTACTCTATCAACCTAGGCAGATATTCTCATTCCAGGTCAAAGCAGAAACAACAGGAATTTGATCAGGATTCAAGTCATTCAATCAATCAAACCTCAATCGAATATAATCAATTCACAAACACTGTACTTGGGTTCATACAATCAGACCTAGCATACAAATCTAGGGTTCTCCATACCCAGATGAATGGGGAAACTACTCCATAGAGAAAGAAGCAAAAGCAGATTCAGACACGGAAATCATACTGTGAAGTTGGATTCCTGCTTCTGGACGTTTAATCGCACTTCTCCAAGCTCAAGACGGGCTCCAATGGTGTTGAAGATCGATCTATAGCGCTTGAGAACTCTGGTTCGACGCTTTCTCTCTCTAGGTATCGGTTTCTCTCTCAAAAACTCGGAACCCCCTGAAAATTGGCCTTCTTCCTCTTTTATCAGCTGCCTGTCGCGATACCCGGTCAAAATACCCGGTCGGGTATTTTATGGTTCGACCGGGTATTTTATGAAACGCACCGTCTGACTAAGGGAAAAAATCCCCGGTCTACCACCAAAATCCCCGACCGGGGATTTAAGGCCTTCGCCCGGGCCCCCTTCTGTTTCTCACGGGGTGCCAAAACGATAAATACCCGGTCGGGTATTTTGCCATCCGACCGGGTATTTTCCTCCTGCAGCCCCCTTAGTCCCAACTCGGCTCCTTTCGACCTAGAACTCGTTTCTCCGCCTCGATTCCAACGCCTGGACCTGAAATGTGACACAAACACACAATCTGGCGTAAAATCGGCTTAAAACACGAGATTCCTCATCACAAACGGCTCCAGAATAGGGGTGAAAATATGTATAATTATCGGTCTATCAGCATGCTATCCAGGCAATTGGTGTGGGAGCAGATTGTATCTATGATTATGTTGCAGATTGTTACACCAAGGAAACCGCAGCAGCCATATATGAGCAGTCTATTTCGCCAACCAATGGTAAGGAATATTGGCCACATTCTGAGTTGGGAGATTGTGGCATTCCCCCTATTCAAAACTCGAAGAAGAGAGGAAGACCAAAGAAACAGAGGAGAAAGGGATTGGATGAAGCTGTAGAAGCCAAGAAGAAACAAAAGAAGGGGGGAAGAGAAGCATCAAAACCGGAAGGGAAGAAATACAAGTGTAAAGTTTTTGGTGCACTAGGCCACAACAAGGCTTTCCATGATACAGCAAGGAAACAGAAGGCAGAAGAAAGGAAGAAAGAGAAGGCAGAAGCAAAAAGGCAGCAACAACTTGAAAGGGCTGAGCGAAACAGACTTGCTGCATTGAAGAAGCTGCAAGAGAAAGCTGCAAAGACTGCTGCTTCTTCATCATCTAGGCAGCCCCCACACGTGGTTCAACTCATGCCAGATGTAAAAGTTTATAACTTTCTTCATTTCCCCGCCTTATTAAATATTTCCAGCATACTAATGTGGGTTAATTTGCAGGGAAGTTTTCGTAAGCCATCAAGTCAAGGCTCTCAACTCTCACAGATTGCAAGCCAAGTGACTCAGTAGAGCAGCTGTGAAGAGTAGATTTAGGTCATGTATTAGTGGGCAGTTAGGTAGTTGTGAATGGTTATTTTGAACTTTTAAGCCTCTAAGGCCTTTTGCAAATCAATATGGATTTGCCATTTTGTCATACAAGTCCATGGAGAAGGAACTTGTTAATTATGCATGGCTCTTTTGGACAACATAGCCGTTAATGCACTAATTATGAATGAATCTTGGAAGTGATCTGTTTGTTTCCGACTTAACTGTCAAATAGTGTAATGCAGAACAGTTAGGTATTGAAGTGTTGTTCTAAATCTGGCTTTTCAAGTGATTGGAGTGACCAAATGTGGACCTTCTCATGTTTTGGAGTGACCAAATGTGGACCTTCTCATGTTTTGGAGTGATCAAATATGGACCTTTTCATATTTTTCAGTTACCGGATGTGGACCTTTACATGTTTTTTAGTGGCCAAATGTGGACCTTTACATTTTTTAAGTGCCCAAATGTGGACCTTTAGGTTTTTTGAGTGACCAATCGTACAACTAACATTACTTTCAGAAACAAAACGTGAAGGGTTAATTTTTCTAGGGTTACAGTCTACAATACAGAAACAATTACATCAGCAAGGTTGAGCAAATAGCTTCTTACATCCCCAATCCCATCCAGATAAAGAAAAGACAAGAGAAATCACAATGAAGATTAAGACTGGACAACCATTAGCTTTGGACCCTTGCCCATTTTGCCTCTTCTCTAGTTCCCGAATCCGACGATGAAAGTTCAGCAGCACAAACTTCATAGGTTCGTCAACTAATGGGTCATGCCATCTGAAGAAATTACATGCCCCATTTGTCTACAGATCCAACCACAAAAACAGAGAGCGATGAAGGAGAGGATGGTCGAATGGTATACAAATCAAAGCAGAAAAGTCAGAAATCTTACCCCATACTTGCTGCACCCGTAGAACCTCCTCCCTGGATTCGCCTCTGTCCAGCTCGTCTTGAGATCTGATGCCAATCCACAACGACAGAAAGGTGTCGCCATTAGCAGAGGAGAAAGGGATGAGAAGAAAACAGAGCTGTGAAGGTTTTGGGAAGATGATAGGTTTCTTCTGGCCAGAAAGCGACATAAATAACATAGATGAGTGTTGGGTCTGGTCGGGTTTGGGTAGAGGTTTGGTTAGGTTTGGTTAGGTTTAGCTGACATGGCGGGTTTAAATGACGTGGCGGGTCGGGTCAGTCAATTTTTCGGGTCAAAAGGTGATGATTAGGCGAATCCGTCAGCCACGTCATCACTTAACGGACGCCGTTAACGACGTTGGACGGCAGCTAACGGAGAGTGACCATAAGTGAACGGGTTTTGTAAAGTTAGTGACAAAAAATAGATTTAAATAATTCTAGTGACCGAACATGAACGTTTTTGGTAATCTCAGTGACCAACCATGCAATTAATCCTTTTTTCATGTGTTAATTTCTTATATTTGTTTTGGGCTTGCTGTTAAATTTTCTATTAGCCTTAGGTTATAAGAGCAGAGTCACATGATTGAGAATTCAATCCAAAATTCTGAAGTCATCCAAAACAGGCCCGTAAGTAAGCCCAAGGCCAACCAAATGAAGTTACATATAATTAAGCACAAGTTTTTTTTTATAAATTAAGCACACTTTAGTGAACAGTAACTACACTTTTGCTTTATATATATATGAATTAATGTTAGAGAAGTTAAGATTATAAATATTTGTTGGAATCAAAAGGAGTAGGTTACATATATTTATGAATTAATAGGTTTGCATTGTGTTATGTTACAACTCAATGGTAATGCTGGCTATCGTAACTTACGTCTGTTTCCTTCATGTTGGATGAAATTTAATGTGAACTTTTCAACTAAATGAACTTGTTCAACCTTTAAGTACTTTAATATATAAATACTTCGAAAGAGCAATAAGAAGAGTTAGAGATTAGCTTTGCATTAGATGACAGTTATGGCCACCATTGGAAAGTTCATGTGTTTGATCTTTTTCCTCGCCCTTGTGTATCCAGGTAAGGAGCAAGCTCTTCGGATCTTTCTTCCCATTTGGTATTATGTTCACTCATGTACAAAAAAGTATTCAATTTTATTAAAAAAACTCTTTCATTTGTTAATTATGTTTTCTGAACCTAGGGAATCCCACATTTTAATAAGGAACAACCATACTTGTTAGTTCTAATAATGCATCTAGATTATTGTTTCATTATTTAAAAACTTGGTCCTTGAAGTTCAATTCCAAATACTCTATCCACACTTGTCAACAAATCACTAGATGTAGCTAGGATGATAGACACAATAATCACACTTAGAAAAGGTATTTTTAGTTCATAAATATCATTACACCCCAGTAACTCGAATTGTTAACAAAAAATTCAACACTTGTTAATGGATGATCGATCGAGCATGTTGCTGTAATTTTTATTTTGAACTATCTCACTTTTCAGCCATTATATTTCAGGGCAATGTGATCTCGGAATATATTGTGATGGAGTCAAGAACTTAAAGATCTCTCAGGCACAAACGGGAAAAGTTGTTGAGAGAAAGCCAGAATGGAAAGTGTCAATCCTGAATGACTGTATGTGCTCTAGGTTTAATATCCAATTGTCTTGCAGTAATTTTCAGACTATCGAAAAAATTGATCCCTGGGTCCTAGACAGAATTAACGACAGTCAATGTGCCGTGAACAAGGGTACTTCTATTCAAGGGCATTCGACTTTTAATTTTACATATGCTTGGGATACTGCATATCCCTTCAGGTTGCTTGATGCACAATTCGCATGTTCCTAGATATTAGTTTTGTAACGCAATAAATGTAACTAGTTTTTTACCCGGCCAGTTGGCCGGAGAAGTTCATTTTGTTATTTATATTAGTTAACTTATCTACATGTTTGAATTTTTTGGATCTTGTATACATTTTCTGCTCTCGCTTCATAAGTGAAGATGTGGTATGCCTATATCGAAAAGTCTTAATATTTAATAGTTAGCACACTCGTTTGTGATGTCTTTATTCTCTGATCATAAATCATGTCGTACAGATTTATCACGTCCCATTTAGGATCGTATATAAAAAATTTCCACCAAGACGCTCAAATTTATTATCTTATATAACAAATATCAATTCCTGATTCTCGAGTTTGTACGAATTCTCAGCCAATTAATCAGAGTTCAAAATATTGAAAAAAGATAATTGTTTACTTGATAAATTATGTTTATCCCAATTGAAATTTGACACACATCGTATCACTTATAATGATTAAATTCTCTAAACCTCACTCATTTTTATTGTTGATGTTCATGAAGTCTTTGTATAGCAACTTAAGACAATTTTTCTATCAAGATACAAATTATTATTATCTTATAATATATATCAATTGCTAGTAATTTAAGTTTGGACTAACCCACAACCCATACTTTTTGTCTATATGTTCGTTTAGAATCTAAATCCAAGACATGCACATACACTATCGAAGGTTCTCATCTTAACATGTTCCTTCAATGTATAATTTTTCAACTATTTGAATGTCCATTCGCTAAAATTTCTTTATATTTGGTGTTTGTTCTAGAACAAAAATTTCAGTACTTATATTAATAATTGGTAAGTGTGTATACGACAGACAAATATTTCAGGTGCATTCAAAATTATGTATTCCTTGAATAATTAACTTATAATTTTTTTAAAAAAATATTTTGTAGCAAAATTTAGAAGTTCGTACAAACATTGTGGCTTTTCACACGTATTTAAGTTATTGGATGTATTGTAGACACATCTATTGTTGATATCTAAATATATATATACCGAGAGTTTATTTTACTTTCAACACTAATTAATACATTTGAACTCAGTTTCTTGGGTGGAATATGATATCAATTTTTTTTATTATTGCCAAAATTTGGTATGAAATCATAAGCTCACAACTATATAGAGTTGTTACAATTTTCTTACTAAACTCATATTTATTAAATATTCTTATTTTGACCCAATAGCTCGATTTACACTATTGTAACTATAATTTTTTTTGTTATATATGTGAAGTAAAACATTAATGTTTATTTATTATCTCAATTGTCGAATTTAGATTTTTCTTTTCATGAAATGTGATGTTTAACATACATCCTTAACAAAAGTTTCTCAAAATTTCACACATTTCATTTTTTAAAAGATCTCGTGTCTCATCCTAGAATATGAAATCAAAGTTCATCAACTATTATACTCAAGTCATTTTGAAAACTTCAATTTATAATCTTTAACAATAAATAAGTTCAATAGAGCTTGTTCAATCAACATGACCTAGAGAAAATATTAATAATGTGAACTTATGATACATTATAAATGCTGCACATGTGATTCATATGTTTTCACTTGATCAGAATGAATAAGAAGCTTTTTTAATAAATAACTATTATTTCTTGGTCAAGTTTCTTTCAGACCTTATCGACAGAATTTTGTGTGTGTGTTTGTTTAGATTATTCATTAAAATTTAAATTATTATTAAGTTTTAGTAAAAATGAGCAGAAATTTACATAGTAATCTTTAACCATATATTTTTTTGGTTAAACAGTGTGATATATATGTCACTCTACATACATTAGTATACTGTTGTGTACATTGATATAATGCAAAAACAAAATATGATATATGTCACTCTCCATCATGATTGTCACGTCGGTCGACATGCCACCGGTTGAACAATTCAATCGGTACCGGTCATGAAATCGACATGACACCATCTGTATGACCGGTATGATCTTTTTACGAATTTATAAGTATAATACGTAGTTTTAGTGAATTTAAGTATGAGTACATGTAATTTTATTTGAAATATCATATTTTATTCAAATATCAATATGAATTGTACGTAAATTGTCTTCAAATATGGTTTATATATGATTAAATTCATTTGATATTAATGATCAAACCGGGTGTACCACTGGTAAAACCATTCCACTTGCTAAACCGGTTTGATAACCTTTCTCTCCATATATTATTTATAGGTAAATATAATGCAAAAACAAAAATAAAATAATTATTGGATAAAAGAGAATTAAATATTAAATGAAGAGAGAGGGATAACTCCATAAATAGGGCAATAACTATTTTTTTGGTAAAAAAATTGTCCACCTTGACAACTTGAGATCTCTCCAAGTGCTTATGTGGCAAAAATTTAATTTTGAATTGTCATAATATTATGTATAGATAGATAGATGTCATCATACTGAGTTATAAAATATAGTTTCCAACGCAAGCAATTCCATTACAATAAATAATATATTTCTATTTTATTTAGTCTATTTACTTTCCAGAATTTAAGTTATAATCACAGATAAAAGAGGCACTTTCAGAAATCAAATCCAAAATGCAGATAAAATAATTAGCGCTTGACCACTACAAAGAAGTAGGTTACCTAGCTACTTCTCAACCATGAGCGTATATATGGTGACCAACTTTCATTATTGTAGTTTAGTTTATAAATAAGTTGATAACAAAATTCTTGGGTCCTTACCCACTTATAAAAAAAATTCTTAAAAAATCAATAATCGTCTAAAATTATTTTTGTAAAGATTGTAAGATAATATTAACAGAATTATGCTCTGTCGTTGTTAGACAAATTGGTAATTGAGTGGTCTATTGGTGCTGCTAAATACAATAATACTTGGATGTGATGCGAGCTTTGCCGCGAGTGTATTGTGCGGGGTTGTTGTCTGTTGGAATGAGGTTTTCTGGTTGTTGGATATAATTGAAGCAACAGTTAGATAATGATAGTTTTCATTTCTTGTAGCGAGACGGAGATGGTCTATGTGTATGTATTATGTGTTTTGTTATGGTGTTTTGTTATTATTATTAGTCTAAAATTAATTTTTTGTTAATAGTTTTGTTAGTAATATTGACTTGAAAATATGATGTTGGCTGAGAAGAGATATATGACAGTCAACATCCAATTTAAAAAAAATTTGAAAATTTTGCCTAGTAAATGATATTTACCTAAACTCAAGTAGACCCATTGATTATAGGTAAAGTATGGGTGACGTATATATGAGTTTGGAAGTTTGTAGATGGGTTTGGGTAGGGTTCGGATATTTACTTCCATAATCTAAATGTGTATGAGTTGGGTATGGATACTCATTTATTCGAGAGTGTTTTAATTACACATACAAAAATTAAACTTATTTGCAGAACTTTAAAAGTTTAGGTACAAAAATGTAATACAAAAAAATTAAGATCATAGTAATTTACTTTTTTATAGAAAAATGAAAACTATTTATTTGAGCTGGACATTGAGCTAAAAAATTTAGTGGTTCAGGGTTCAATTATTAGTTCTCTAGATTGTTGGTGAGTCGTGTATGGACCCGTTTATACTTGTTATTAGAATACATAAAAATAGTATACTAATTAGGGTTAAACGAAGAAGGAAAAGAAAGAAATAAAAAAAAAGGGTTATGGAAGGCGAGTGAAAAATGAAACGAAGAGGAAGTAGATGATGGAAAGGTTTTGATCAATTCTTTTAGTTAAACGTCAATATAACAATCAACCCCTTTCACCGTAGCAATTTATTGACACTTGCTTATGTTGATGTCCCATATTTTGTTACATGTAGCTAGTAGAAGTTTGTTTAGTACCCCTTAAATGTATTAAACGAGTTTATAAATTCGCTCTTTTAAAATAGTCGAATCATCTCCTACAGTTTGAGTGATACAACATCTTGTATTGTACAAACTAAATTTATACTTTTATGTTATGGTAGATTGAATTCATGAATTCACGTGAAATATAAACATTGGACCCATATGTAAATTTAAAAAATTGTAGGTACAAAAATATCAAAAAATTTAGATATCAAAACATAATTGTTCAATGATTTTACATTAAAATTAAATTTGGGGTATCAAAATGTAAAATATACATTATAGTGACTAAGTTGTGATTTAATTAAATTTGGATACCAAAATGAAAACAATTAGGCAACAGTAACCAAGCTTCACATTTATAGTAAAATATAATACGAGTACATTAAGATATTGATATGTACAAAATTTTTATATGACATTTTAATAGAACAATGTTTAAAAATATCAATAGTAATAAAAATCATAAGTTAAAAGTTAATATAAGTATAAAAATGACCCAACCTTTCCATCATCTACTTCCTCTTCATTTCATTTTTCACTCGCCTTCCATAACCCTTTTTTTATTTCTTTCTTTACCTTCTTCGTCTAACCCTAATTAGTATACTATTTTTAAGTATTCTAATCACAAGTATGAACAGGTCCATACACGACTCACCAACACTCTAGAGAATTAATAATTGAACCATGAACCATTAACTTTTTCAGCTCAATATTGAGTCCAATTAAAAATAAAGATATATAATTAGGGATTTCCTAAGGTAACTTGAATTTTTTTATCTGCTATAGCAGGTTTCACAGGTCGCATTACGTAAAATACAATAGGCATTACGTAATGGTTACGTAATGTATGGTAAACTTACGTAACAGTTGTAAAGCACCATTACGTAAGCCTTACGTAATAGACGGTTATTTTACATAATGAATACTAGCATTGCATTACGTAAAGTGTAAAGTCATTATGGAAACCTTACGTAACAGTACACTGCTGATTTAACTATTACGAAAGAAATAACTGTCCTATGTAACCCTTACGTAATGGAAGGTCCCTTTACGTAATGAGTATTGGTGTCGCGTTACGTAAAGCGCCAAGTCATTATGGAAGCCTTACGTAACGCTTCCATTTTAACTGTTACGTAAGAAATAACTATCATTCCGTAACCTTT